GGGAAAAAGATCTTCCAGTTCCTGAGTGGGCATGGCAGAAATCTGCACCTTTGGGGTTTTTTTGGTTGTCTCCAGAGAGAGTTGTCTTACACTCAGTTCTAGGGATTCCTTCCTTTAAGGGAAAGATCTCCTCCCTATTTTGAATACCTTTTTATCATTATTCATTTTGGAAAGGAAAAAAGTGAAAGTCATTGGTAAAATATATCAGTTATATTAGGTAAGTATCTAAAATGGTTATTATCCTGTTGCTGGTGCACTATATAAGCACTGTTTGTTACAGTTAAGCTGTCTACAGAGATAAGGTGATGAGACCAAATTATTTAACTTCCCTCTTTTCGTTTGAACATCTTATAGGCTATAAAACAGATTCTAGACACTATATAGTTTTCCCACTCAGATTTCTCTGTCATGGATTTTTTTTTTCCCCTAAAGGCTACAAATGGTATTAATTTGCTTAATATAATTGACATGCTACTGTGGATGGCCATTAGGGTAACACTTACTGCTAAACCTTAATCTCTCCAGTTTTTCAGTGGCTTAGGTAGTTTCCATGTAGTTTGTCATACCTCCAAGTGTTGCATTTCTTCCTTTTCCAGTTCACAGAAACTTCAGAGCTGCTGTAAAAGTGCAAGACCATATGTGACATTGTGCAGGACTAGTTGCTGAATGCAATGTGAAACATGTTAAATGTTGTAAGAAATAATTGATGTGGTTTTTTTTAATTAACATGCTCTTTGGCATTAGAATAGTATACTGCTTCTGGCTCACAAACCACACATTATTTTCACTTTAATCAATTGCAGCTTTCTCATAAAGTCAAAAAGGTTGAAAGTATTTCAGTACTAAAATGATAAAAACTTTTGCTTTGTATGTTGATCAATGCTATTTCTTACTGTGCCAAAACTACTACTTGTCTGAATGGGATTTTCTAAGTGCTGTATCTCTAGATCTTAAAATTAGAACTGTCTAAGTGCTGTGACATTTTTTTCCTGACCTGCAAATGCAAAATGTTAGTATTTCTGTTAGAATAATGTTGATTATCAATGTGAAACTAACATGGCTGAAGCAACCTTTTTTTATTTCTTAGACTTGAATACTTTCCCAGCAATAGATTAGCAACAAAAACATTTGCTGAAACTCTCTATGCTTGTGTTCACGTTATACTTCTAATGGAATCATGGAAGGCTTTCATTAGATCCATTGCAACTGTGCTAGCAGATTATGACAATTGCCTTGTGATTTACTATACAACAATTTATATTGTGTGGCTTCATTTTGAAAAAAAAACAATGCAAAAACCAGAAGGTGTCACAGAGGCAGCGTCTGATATTTCCCTCTAATTCTGTGGTATCTGCCAAGAAGGTATATACTTTTCTCTTACGCTATGCAATGTCAATTCATTTTTACTCATAGGTTTTGATGGCCTCAGATTTGATTAATTTCTGCTTTGATGCACCACTGATACTAACATACCTCACTAATGAGAAGCAGGAATCTGGCATATTAAAAATGACAAATTTATTATAAGAACAATGTTTAACATCAAAATGGATTCAAATTCTTGAAATACAGTGTAGAAATTTACATTCTTAGATCATAGAATCATAGAATCAT